TGCATCATGCCGTCTCGACGGACTTCGAGGTTAAGGGCAAGTTGCGGAGCTACTCAGGAAGTAATGATGCCTGCTGCGGCTCTGCCGGCGGCACGTCAAACTGGAACTGCTTAAACCTGCAATATCAAAGCAGTAGCCCTAATCAGGCTGTAGCCTAACACTGTTAAGGACGTTACCTTTGCTTGAGAAACTGCATCGTATCCCTGTTTTCGCGGCCCAAATCCATATGAAACAATTCTTCAGCCATGTTTGTGATTAGGATTAGATTTCCCGATGATGGTCCCCACTATATTGACAGTTTAGCAAACATTCTATCGGGCGCAGATGGGACGGGGGTGGTGGGTGGTGCGGTGGGGGATCAGGCGGGGTGAAACGTTGCATTGTGGTTCATCGTCTCGCGGCAGCAAACGTTAACGTTCACATAAACTTCTCAGGCTACAAGCACAATTTCATGGAACGATCATTTAGCAATATGTTCTTGAGGAGAGCCGGGGCTGGTTCTGGAACACTTAACACCTTAACCCCCGAACCTAGGGGTACCGTATTTTGGGGTCCTTATAATAAGGATCCCACTATTTGGGGGGGTACTATATTAGGGTCCTACCTTGCCATGAAAGAACTCGGAGCCGCGTGTTCCGGCAGGAGAGCCTGTGGTTGGATGCGACGGAACCCGAGGGCCTCCCCAACATCGACCAGGAGAGCACTAGTCACGGTGCTACTGTAATATGGGGGTTTCCGAAAAAGGGGACCCTAATATAGTACCCTGAATAGTAGGATCCTTATTATAAGGACCCCAAATAAGGTAACCCCCAATTTTCGGAAACTCCCATATGGGAGCCTGAATAGTTACCATCATTACTATGTTGGGGGTTCCTTATATCGTAAGTATGGTATTATGGGCCCCACAACTCTATTTTAGTTGTTAAGGCCACTATAGTACGGGCTCCAGTCTATAAAAGAGCCAACCTTCAAACCCCCAAAACCCGAAGCCCCGAGCTGGAATCTTGATGTTAAGTGTTGCGTGCCTGTTGTGCTGTATGACTTAGAAGCTGCCCCCACCCTGTAATACTGTAGTGGCTATAAGGATTACAGTAGGGCCCTATTGTATTCCTATTAATTGTACCACTATTACAGGGTGGGGGCAGCTTTTAATGTATGACGCCTTGCTTTGACACTTCCGGCTTCCTTGCACCCATTACAGACCAAGTGGACACATGCCTCGCCTGGAGAGCACACGCGTGAGCACCGCTACACGAGCAAAACCTATCTCAAACTGAAGTCTGGCTGAACGGAGTTTCAGGTTTCACATTGAACGTTGAATGTAGGAACCCGGTAGAGGAACTCATGGTTCCCGAAAGGATTCTTGATATCGCTCCGAGAAGGCAGAAAAGGGGTGGGGGGTTCAGAGAGGAGTTCTGAGTAAGATGTCTGCCTGGACCAACGAACAACACCGCCACCCCGCCACCTCGGGCTCCTTAACCTAGTTGGAGTACAATTTCCGCCGAATCCCTAGTCCAAACACTCCGGCCCGTGTATCAAGCCTGGTGAGCCTCACGAACCGGAGGAGACATTCCTGGGCTCCGGGAACCAATATATGAACACCTTCTCTCTGGAAACCACATCGGGAACCTTGGATTCAAAAAGGATGTCTTCAGAATCCTACGAGGTTTTGATATGGGCCTTCTCGCAGATGCGGGAAAACTGCAAGCAGATGCCTTCGAGATTCTGTTCAGGGTTTGGAAGCGATTCGGAGTTCGCGCAGCTTTGACCAGGGCTTGGTGCAGAGGACGAAAACTCTTGCAGCCAGCATCAGCGGAAGGTACTGACTGGAAAGATGGCTTCTCTCTTTGCCCACGGTTGTTACTGGTAGCTTTGTTTTGCTAGATGTGTTCGAAACGACGCGGGGAAATCATCGCCAAAAAAGTGTCAAGCCAGCACACCGCCTTCTCAAGCAGCATGCTGCTAGGGCTTGCTCTAGGCCAAGCAAGCACTTGTCATTGGCACTGGACCATGCCGATCCTAGACGCATAGCAGACGAGGTCAACGGCAGTGTACATTGGCTCAGCCAGGGTGATTCCCGAACATGAAAACCAGTAGCGAGACTCTGCCAAAACGATACGGGAAGCCCGAATTCCAGGACATGTTTGGGACGAGCAAAGATGTGTTGATGCCACTTCTAGCAGCTAGCAGTGCTGATTAGATATTGGACACTCTCTTTGCAAGTTACCTGAATCCCCCAACTGATCGAACCTATCCTGCCGAAGCATCCAATGCCACTCAAACTGAGGAATTGCAAATGGATTGCGGAAAGTTGCTCGGCAGACTGCAAGAAAGATTGTAAAGGTTGTTGGGCCCGTTCTGTCTAAGAGTCAGAGAGTTGAAGGAAGCCCAAGCATTAATATCCAACCGGCCGGTGCAATGTCAGCCGAGGATTATCCGAATGCTCAGGGCGCTCGCGTTTTCAGCTTGACGAGGCACGAGCCCTGTACCCAGACCCTGTCAAGTATCCAATAGATGGATACCTGAAATCGGCTCTATCTTAACCCATATACTGCTAGTGAGCCTTCTAGAGGCTGCGTTGCCACGGCCCTAATCCAACACAGAGTTGTAAAGCCATGTCGGAAACACAACTTGACCAGAACACAAAAATTGAAAGAGGCCAGACTGAAAGCCTGGTCCATTCTTGTTCCGTACATGATGGCCCGGCCGACCACCTGAAATCCAAGATGCCCAATGCTGCTGCTACATCGGGAGGACAAAAGTTTTGACCTACATGATCTGTCTTGTCTTAAGACGTCTTGCGGAGTAGCGGAGTACCGAAAGGTGCGATTTACGTGGCCTGGCCAGCGGAGTATTTTATACCCCGTTTTGAAAATATACTACTTTAGTGTTCCGGAGGAGTAGCCGGTTGGTCCTGCTTGTTAGGATTCTATGGGGGAATGGGGGCCTGTGTTCGACGAAACAAGGAGTAGGTCAAACTTTCGTCCTACCGCAGTATAGAAGGCCTCCTTCACATGCGACAGTTCTTTTCATCCCCGAAAACAAAGCGTCAGGGTTGCGGGCTCAAGTGTTTGTAAGACTCAAAACGATGCTAAACAGAAAAGTTCCTGAAGCCCTTGTGAATCTGTCGACTATGGATCCGTTGTTTCGCGAAAGGGTGCTTAAACAGCACTGATCTGATACAACAGTCTGAAAAACTCTTACTTGTAGTAGTATCGCCGCATAAATAAAACTATACTATATAGCATACCCCAAAACGCATTCTAACTATCAAGGCCCGTGGTTTGAACTCCTACAATCCCTTTGTAGTAAACTTCATGTAGAACACTTTTGCGGGAACCCTTCTCTAAGTGAAGGCCAATAGATCAAAGCCTCATAGAGCTGCAAAACCTACACAGAAAGCCTCATAGAAAAGAAAGCAAACACGCCCTAGCTTCAGCCATAGCGCAAAGCCTGCAGGAGCTCCTTTGCAGGTCAGCAGAAGACGGGAGCTGCTCTTTGGCGGCTGGGATGCTGAAAGATAAGATGTTTAAAATTCTGCTACACTATGTGCAGGTTAATACCTAGCTTTCCTTCTGAGGGATATTTCCGATTCATACTGCCCCTACGCTACATTTCCAGTAAAACTCATGGTTTCTCCTGTTTTATTCGCTTATATTCATTTAATACTTTACGTGCTTTAACATTGCAGTCATTCTTATACGCCTTTGCTACACCTTACGCATGTTGAAATGTGCATTTGTATTGCATTACGTGTGACGTTAAGTTCATGTTTTCAGTACCTCATATTCCGATAAATATCTGTCCGGGTTGCTACACGATAAAAAGTGTTGATTTCTGTGTTACATCGTTTTCATTACATGATGTTCATACTTGTGTTTTTATCCTTGCATGTTTGTCTTGTCGATCATCTCTACCCTTTATCTTCGTATGGAACCGGACCGGGTATGAATACGAGTAGCAATACTCGTACAAAGAGTACGATGCTGTCTTAATACTACAAATTAATTGGGAATGCCACATGGTACGATAGCATAGTCTATGTCTGCTCCTGCTTTATGACAACATTCATATGATTGTGTTAGCTCACAAGTTTGTTGCGTCATGCCACATGGAGTAGCCAGTATGCTTCATAAATACGTAAAGCTGACGGATTAGGGCCGTGGCTGTAGGCTTGCAGTTTAGAGATTAGGGTTCTAGGAACATCTTGGTTTGGGTTTAAAGGGCTTAAGCCCCAGACACTGGGCTTTTCAGCCGCTTCTTCCTAAGGACTGGAGACACCACGGCGAGTTGGGACATGCTTCGTCGGCAGGTGGCGAGCTCCATCAACTACCCGTGCCCCGGCTTGTGGTGGCACACGAATTTCTGCCGGCATAACAACAACAATGACAATTGTCCCTTCGAGTCCAATTATAGTAGTGTACACCGCAGTACCATGTTGTAATTAGCGTAAACCCCATAATACATGCAGCGAGGGGTTCCAGCAAGCCCCTCCAATCGAAATACTAATTTTACTACCAGCATAGTCTGCTCAGGATGTCTGGCATACCCTACTGGGCACAGGACATCGGTGGAACCTCTGCTGCAATAGAAGCGACAATCAATGGTTTGTTGCTGGTACACAGGTTCGACTTGCCATGCCATCAGGACCGGGAAGAGGTAAAACCCGAAAGCCCCAAAACCCCAAGCCCTGACGACATGTAGATCAATGTTGGGCCCTAGTATGGAGGGTCGGGTTCGAAGGAGATCGGAGAGATTGTGTGAGGAAGAGTGTTTAAAACTGGCGGATCCTTGCGTGAAGGATCCTGCTGCATAGTTAGGGTCCCTTAAAGGTACCAGTGAGTCGGCCCTTTTTGGTGGTGCTGCGGGTGCATGCCTGTGGCAACTACGACGAACTCCGGTTTTCCTCGCTTGAGCTTCTGCGGGTTGTTAGCTGCAGGTTTCTTCCGACCAAAAGATCAATACACTTCTGCCTCTTGACTGCGAATCGCTGTGTATCCCAGCAGTTGCACCTATTCTCCAAGCAACGTTCAATTCACGCCAGCGCAGGATGACTATCGCAGACTTTTGATTCGCTGGTTTCAGTTTGGAGTCTTCACGCCGATCTTCCGGGTCCACGGAGCCGGGAGTCACACGGAAATCTGGAACTTCGGGAACACCACCATGGACATCATCAACATCTCTGCTATTACTCTGAGATACCGGCTCCTGCCCTATGCAACTCCAGATCATGTGCTGGTTCAATTTTACGATGTGTTTGATAGGAGTTAACTACTGGTTTAAATCAGGTGTGTGGTGTTCTGGTAGCCCGCTTTCTGCCTCCTCGGAGATCGAGGTCTATTCTGGGTTTTGGCGCGTGGAAGCGCAAGCCTACACGATGCAGCGAGCGTTGACCTTCGATTTTCCTGAAGATGCGGCAGCACGGCGCATCGCGGATGCTTACATGTTTGGACCCTCCCTGCTGGTGACTCCGATTGTTTCGGCCGGAGACTCCGGTAAGGCGACTACAAGGGAGATTTACTTCCCGCAAGGCAGTTGGATTAATTTCCACACCGGAGAGCAGTATGGAGGAATGCAAAATGTGAGCTTCACTTTGCAGCAAGCTCCTTTCTTCTGCCGCAAGGGATCCCTCCTGGTTCTTGGGCCCAGCATCCAGTCGACAGCTGACACGAATCCTGATCTGGAAGTCCGCATTTACCCGGGAGCAGATGCAACCTTGGCTTTATTTGAGGATGACGGCTCTTCTACCAAATACCGCGAGGGCAGCTACTCGACCATAGATTTTGCGTGGCAAGACAGCATCTCGGCTGCTCAACAATACGCCGTTCCCACAACTGCATCTTTCTTGGTTTACACAACTTCCACGAAACCTGCAAGAACCTTTTCCTTCGTCCTCTGTCGCTGAGTCTCTCCGAGACTCTAGGCGTTCTTGCTTCGAAGGTTTCGGAGTTATAGGCGGTCCTCGCACAACCAAGCTCTTCGAAGCCAGGGCAAGTTGCAGTCCTTTGGCCTACAACTCCAACTACAGCACAAACCTGGTTTGCCAAGCTTTTTTCTTTTCCTCTTCTAGCTTTAAAGGCTGCAGGGCGAACCTGTTGAAGAACTTTGCGGGTGTGCATTTTCAATTGCTTGCTTGGTGTATAGGGTTATACGGACCCATGGAGAGCTTCGAGTCACAAAACAAAAAGGGATGGTTCGTTCTTGGTCGATCGCACTGGATGTCTACATGTCCATGAGGGACCATAGAGAAGCAAGGATTGAAGCGCGTTTAGGCAGGCGAGAACAGTCGCGGTTTGGCTTCAGGGTTGAAGACGGATTTCCGGAACCTGGTACTCAGGCAGCCAGACGCTCCGAATTTCCAGCAGGAAAGGCGCTTACCCCGGCATGCCGCAAGCAAGACGGATCTGTGCTGTGGTCGTTTCGCCTGGCCATGGTGTAGGCGTTTTCCAATCAAGCTGTGATCGGCAAGCTACGTATGCTGGAGAGGAGATCGCGATTCAGTTCCATAGCTCGATTGTGGTGTAGGCCGACTGAGCCTTCAGGCCACACAGAAATTGATTGCTGCCCTCCCGGGATGCAGCGGTCATCTTCTGGTAACTACAGCAATTATCGCAGGTTCTATGAACCCGGATGGTACCCCTAATAGTACAGTGCCTCTTATAGTGCATGACAAAGGTTGAAGCCTAGCCCCGGCATTCCTCAAAGCTCCTACGCACCGCAGTCTAAGCACTGAACCCGGCAGCTGCAGAGTCTGCAATATAGAAGCTTGAACAATCAGCCATGTTATTCCTTAGGGTTCCTCGTACTTATAATACTAATACCAAAGATTCTACCCCGAACCCTTTTCTTATTACGGCTCTTTATTGCCTCGCAGTTCCCCAGCCCGCAAAGCACTCCCAAAGGCCTTGTTCCTGATAGTCAGAGGCCGTGGGAAGAGGAAAACCTACGGAGCCTCATTGACAGTGCCCTCCTGTTTAAAGCGCGGGCACTGTCTACCGATACAAAAAGGAATCCAATCTTGCTGCATGGATTCATGGTTGGGGCTTTGTCTTTCGGGCTTGCTGAGCACCGTCAAGGGGACCTTTGCGAGTACGTGAGATCTGCTTAGGCTTCGAGATTGATCTTGGGATTAAGTATTCACCGAAGCCTCGGGAAGCTCTTGGGGCAGAGGAGCACACATCATATGACTGGTAGAAAAACGGCTCCGCGTAGCAAGGTTGTCGGATTGTCTGAGCATCTGCGCATGTGTTATTGCAGTCGTAGAATCCATCCTCCCAGTCCTAATTCCAATGTTAGCCAAATCTGGAGCTTCGCGTTCACTCGCCGGAAAGTGGGACGAGAAAACCCAGAACCCGAAGCTGCCACGGGCTCTTCGAAGGCCGGATCTCCTTTAAAGGACCTGAAGCAGGAAGGCAACAAACGTGTTCCTTGTGTTGTGTCGGGTCTAGGTTTAACATGGGCAGATGGTTCATAGGCCTTTCTTGAATAGAAAATCTAAGGGGAAATCGCGCACCCCCACGCCACAGGCGCTGGTTCCAGAGAGCCCGCCACGGGCACTGGATGCACAGCTCTCTCAGGAGGTGCCTCAGACAATAAACTCAAGACTGTTGCTGATGTGGTTCCGCACCTACTGCTTATAGCTGAAGCACAAAGTTTGGCCTCCAGTCTGGCAGGCTTTGTCCACGAACCCTGTTGGACCCTAACGAAGGAGAAGATCATCAGAGCTTGTTTGTGTCAGGGGCAATTTGTGCAGCAGCGTCTGTAGCTGACATCTTCTGGTGGAGAAAGAACTCCTTGACCTTTGTACTAGCTACTCGTGGCTCGAGGTTTAAGCCTGGGAATTTGTGCTACAGAGGGTGCAAGAAGGGCACCGTACGCTCAATCTCACAAAAGCTGCCATTCGATGCTGTCCTGACAGTTTCGTCCAAGCAGAGTCCGCAGAATATCGAATCCCATCTTCGGAACTGTCAAACAAAATCCTTAACCCTTTGCGCCGAACCAGAACCACAGGGTTTAGATCAACAAGGCTTATATGAAAGGAACCCAAAATCTCATTTTTGTATGTGGTTGGCTTTATTTGTGTTTAAAAGTGTTTTTTTGTATTTAAAAGTATTGTTTTGTATTTAAAAGTTTTTTAAATAGGTTTTTTTGTGTTTTACAGTTGTTAAAATTCTTTTATTTTATTTTTGGTGTAAAAAATACATGTTTGTGAATTTTGTTTCTGAGTGAGTCAATTGGCTTCCTGTTGTTCTACCTGGTTTCCTGCTGCTGTATGTCTACAAAATTGTTGTTTATTTGTTGTTGAAGTTAATAATTTTTAAAATTTAATCTTTTTAAATAGTTTTGGGTTGTGATTGAACAAAGAAGGGAGGCCGTAGTGACATGTTGACTTGCCTTGAGATCTTGCCCTTACCCACACGGATCGACTGCCCTTCTCGGTTCGTGGGCACCGTTGGCCGGGTGTCAGGTTATGAGGCGATTGTATCTAGACCGCCTTGGGGCCAACGTGCCAGGGCAGTGGCATATGACACCCGGACAAATGGGCTAAAGTGCCGGGTGGGGCGGTTGAGGGGTTGTTCGCAGCCGTGCTTACAGCCTTGAAGGGGAGGCCATCCATGCTTGTCGTCACGTTTTGTTAGGGAGCCTTGCGACTTGGATCGACAGAGGCAGAGTGCCACCTTACCCACACGGATCGACTGCCCATCTCGGTTCGTGGACACCGTTGGCCGGGTGTCAGGTGTTGTCGATGGTACCTGGACCGCCTTGGGGCCAACGTGCCAGGGCAGTGGCATATGACACCCGGGCACATGGGCTAAAGTGCCGGGTGGGGTGGTCCAGTGGTTGTGGCTTTTTTATTTTTCTCCCAACCAGGAGGGGAGGCCATCCATGCTTGTCACGTTAGTTAGGGAGCCTTGCGACTTGGATCGACAGAGGCAGAGTGCCAGTCGAGCCTCTCGAGGTTGCCTTACTTAAGTCCCTGCCCCATCGGGGTTGCTCCCCACACCGTTGGCCAGGTCTAAGTGTTCGGTTTGAATCCAAGCCTAGTGAACGCCTTCTCTTCCATTTCCTTCTCTCCCATCGGTCTTCATCGGCTTCCAGCCCATCGAGAAGTGGATGCCAACTGCTGGGATCTCAGCATCAGCTTGCTTCAGCTACTTCCATTATTATGGTACAGTCCTGGCACCGAGGCTCATGACGAGGATCCTGAGGACATGCTGCCATCGCAGAGGACAAGCTGCCTTGCATAGTCAGTGAGCGTGTCATGTATCGCAACTTGCCGCTGCAGCAGTTGTGCTCGCTGTTGCCCTGCGTAATCTACTATAGTCGTGTTACAGCTGCTCTGTCTCAAGTCTAAGTCGTAGTAGGCCCCCCTGCAAGCCGGCAGATGTCGTCGACGTCGTGGAGTGACAGTGAGTCTGTGGGCTCGGACTGGGTTCTGGTTGACGATGAGGGTGCAAGCACTGCGGGCTCGGTCGCGGACAGTTTTGACGACGATGATTCTGTGATTCCGTTCGACACGATGCTAGAGGAGTGCTTTACGACATTCTGGATGTTTCTGAATTCTCAAGAGCGTGGGCAAGTCTTGCAAGTAGCCTGGTCTGTCAATGAGCAGATCATGTTCACACTCTTTCCGAGACTTCGGCGGGATTTTCGGCAAGGCAGAGTGCCAGGAATTTTATATTACAATGTGTCAGACGAATTTCTGGCGTTACTGCTTCAATGATTTGTCGTGTTTGTACAGCCTCCGAGACCGTATTACGGATGTTGGGGAAGGCAGAGTGCCGGGTTTGCGTGTGTTTAGAGGATTTTGAATTCGACGATCTCGCCAGCAGAGCTAGACTGTCCGATTTGAGACCTCAGCGGTAGTGTGCGCAACTTGGATTCAAAACGGTTACCCAGCATGACATGCTGACTACACAGTGCCGGGTGGCAGTGATGTCCTCAGGACCCTGCTGTCTCCGAGGCTGGCTGCCTGCCTGCCTGCCTGCATAGTCTGTCAGTGAGTTGCCTTGCACCATACATGATCGACATCTGTCTGCCGGCCAGGGAATCAAGTGATTCATTCATACTGATGTAACAGTAGTAACACAATGTTACATATCATTGATTAATGTACTGTATAGTGATGCATTAGTCACTGTTAATGTTTTAATCTTTGGACAATTGAAGTGTGCTCGATGAAAGCAGTGATCCCGACGACCTGCTCTGTCTCTAGTCTAAGTCGTAGTAGGCCTCCGTGCAAGCCGGCAGATGTCGTCGACGTCGTGGAGTGACAGTGAGTCTCTGGGCTCGGTCTCGGACTTATTGGCTGTTGGCGAGTTTGCAAGCACTGCGGCGTTTGGGGGTTCGTTTGTGGGCTCGGTCGCGGACAGTTTTGACGACGATGATTATGTGATTTATTTCGACGAGCTGCTAGAGGAGTCCTTTTCGACATTGTGGATGTTTCTGAATTCTGAAGAGCGTGGGCAAGTCTTGCAAGTAGACTGGCATATCAATGACATGATCCTGTGCGTACTCGTTCCGAGATTTGTGCGGCAAGGCAGAGTGCCAGGAATTTTACATTACAATGTGTCAGACGAATTTGTGTCGTCACTGAATCAGTGATTCATCGTGTTTGTACAGCCTCCGAGACCGCATTACGGATGTTGGGGAAGGCAGAGTGCCGGGTTTAGAGGATTTTGAATTCGACGATCTAGCCAGCAGAGCTAGACTGTCCGATTGGAGACCTCAGCGGTAGTGTGCGCAACTTGGATTCCAAAAGGTTACCCAGCATGACATGCTGACTACACAGTGCCGGGTGGCAGTGACGTCCTCAGGACCCTGCTGTCTCCGAGGCTGGCTGCCTGCCTGCCTGCCTGCATAGTCTGTCAGTGAGTTGCCTTGCACCATACATGATCGACATCTGCCGGCCAGATAATCAAGTGATTCATTCATACTGATGTAACAGTAGTAACACAATGTTACATATCATTGGTTAATGTACTGTATAGTGATGCATTAGTCACTGTTAATGTTTTAATCGTTGGACAATTGGGTGCTCGATGAAAGCAGTGATGCCGACGACCGTTTCAAGGTGCTCAGGGAGTTCCGAGGCAGAGTGCCAGACTTCTGCTGCTGACCATCAGAATCAGGCCAATCACATTGACCTTGGCAGTGATTACTGGAACGAAGCCGTGCAACAACTTCGGTGGAATTGTTTACACTGTGGCAGATCAGCTGCCGACTATACCACCGGGCTCCGAAAGATCCAAAGGGCTGCACAATTGGATCAACGAATCAAATTGGCAGTTGAGGCCATCTCAGATTTCGGAGATATGGATATGAAGTTGTACAAAGCATGGACCGGCCAGACAGATGTGCTGCCTGGGTCGATCCCGCCACCTCGGCCATGCCAGCATGATGTCGAGACGTGGCCCATGGATGATGTTTTGATTTACGACCATCCCCAGTGGCAACTGTTTGTTGGCAGTATTGGTTGCCCGATCCGATATGACCAGCTCCGGGTCAAGCCTGACATTGTCATC